GTGACTCGATGATGATGATACGAACAAGGAGGGTGACACAGAATAATTGAATAAAATAAAACTCACAAAACGCTGAATTGGTAGTGGAAATCTTTATTGCTGGTAACTGGCAGATGCTTTATTTATTTTCAATAATAACCACAGAATACTAATAATAATAAAAAGAATAATAATACACGTGCCGCTGCACTAGCGGGCTCCGAATTATAATAATTATAAATATGCCACCATGGCAATATCGAAAAAATAGAAAAAATAATAATAAAGTTTAGCTAACGACGAACAACAAAAAGTATTTTTTCAATAAAAATGTGGTGCAACAATCGCAACCGACGAACGAACAACGAGAAGATCATAATAGTTGCCTCAATGGCTAACGACGAACGACAAAAAGAATAATAATTTGCACAATATAACACACGACAATAATTAATAATAAATAAATAAGAAAATAACAGGTAATTAAAATTCACATATATACAGATAGGGAACCGAAAGAGGGAAACAGATAAGGAAAAACGAGTCGCAGCGTTGTCGTGCACAATTAATTATCGCTCGACTCTATACCGGTTGCCGGCTACATCCATCGGCGTAAACATTATGGAATGGTCAAATGATCTTGTTATCGAGTTTTTGGAGTTGTACGAGAAGGAACCTGCAATATGGAATCCAAGAGATCCAAATCATAAACATAAAAACTATGTAAATGACTCATGGAAAAGAATTGCTGATAATATAAGCGTACCTTGTTCAACAAACGAATTAAAAAAAAAAAAAGACTCGCTAATGTCCACTTTTCGAAAACTAGCTTCAAAAGTAAGAGCAAGTAAGAAGACTGGTTCAGGGACAGCAGACATATACAAACCCAACTGGTTTGCTTACGAAATAATGACGAAGTTTTTGCATGGAGTTTTTCAACCTCGCGTCACTCAAAATACAGATGTTAGTTCTAACTAAATCATAATTATTATATAGCATAGTATAAAATAAAGTCCAAATTGAGTTCACAAAATGTTTTATATTTAAAATGGATTATAGCATTGATTATAAATAGTAACTATTTATAGTTATTATTATAGGAAGCTTATAGGTTTACAATTTTTCAGTTTTTGTTTTGAATTATGTATTTTAATATTTAAAATAAACTTAATGTTTAACACAAAAATCTGTACAGAATAATCGTTTTAAAGACATGTTTTTTCGTTGAGGAGCTAAAAATAAATAGTTTACATATAAAAAAAAATACTGTTGTGTATAACATATAATATGTAGTCAATTTCTTGTTTGTTTTGAAACATGAAAAGACACTCTATATAAATGTAATTAATTTATAATACTATAAACTTAATAGTCTTAACTATTTGCTATTTTTCGATGTTACTGCTCCGTTCGTAACAAAGTATTCAGCGAATAAATCTCTTATTCGAAGAGCTTCTAATCCGGATTTTCGAGCTACTCTCCGAAGTGATAAAAATGATGACATGTCATTTTGGTCTGTCCTCCAGAATCATTTTCGTAATCAAATGTTCCTGGGAGAGAATAACTTGCTTTGGGTGACTTGCTTCTTCTTAAAAAATTGTGCAGCAATGCACACGTAAATGTAATATCAGAAGCTGTGTTTTCATTTAATAAAATCAGCTTTCACAAAACACGAAAAACGGATGACATAATACCAAACACGTTCTCAACAATTCGGCGAGCTCTTGAAAGCCTATAATTAAATATACATTTTGAATTGCCTTTTTCAAAAACGCCCGAATATGGTGTTGCTTGCCGTCGTTCAATCGTAACGATGGTTAAGTTTTTAGGATAATATTTCAAATAAAATACTCAAATATAATTTAACTGTTTAGTTAAGAATTCTTCTAAGTACAAAAAGAACACTATTTAGAAAATGATCTGGCGTGAAGGTGCTTGCGACTATACCTGTAAACCACATCTGAATATTGGTCTGTTCCCAACCCCCTTATATACTTAGGTCTCGTGGGAATTGGCTGCGCATTTCTATGTAATACATTATTTCCAATTACTGTTACTACCTGGAGGTGTTAAATTGTAATTAAAACGGTTGACCTCGGTAATATTACTATTCGAACATCTCTCATATTTTGTTATGCGCTTTTATTAATTGATTTTTTATAATTCTTTGAAATGTAGTCTGACAGCTCATATTCGTGTTACCCTCGGTTCTTAATCATTCCTTTCTCTTTATACGAATACGAATATTATATTAATAATAATCATTTCCCGATTTCTATTATTTTTAATCTACGTAGTCCCATCCATGTATTATGAGTCGTAAGGACCTACATTTATGTATGTCCGCAACAATGGTTTCATGATATGTTTGCCTAAAGCAAACGCGTCATCTCCGACAAAAACATAAGGTATCATCTCGGTTTTTGATGGAAGTGGTTCATCAAATGGGAGATTAAGTTCGTTTTTTTTCTAATTTTTTGTAAAGAGATGTATTTCTAAAACCGCCACCGTCACTGATGCGACCTTGGCACCCAATATCAATGTACGAAAACATATAATTTGCATCTAATAAAGCCATTAAGACAATACTAAATGCGCCTTTATAATTAAAAAATTCTGAACCACTGTTTCCCGGACATTGTTTCACAATATGCTTCCCATCAATAGCTTCGATACAGTGGGGGAAGTTCCATTTATTGTTATGGTTCTGTGCTATTGAGATCCATTCTTTCGAATTATTCGGTAACTGAAATGTTCGTTCATAATTATTTTTCGTCATTTTTAAATTATTATTAGATTTTATGATAGATATTTGCAATTTTCTTGTACTCTTGAATATTTAATTTTAATGTATTAATTAACGTTAGTTTAAAAAAAACTTTTAAAAATAATTTTCACAATACGTTGAATATTTTATCATAATCCATAAAATTAATTAAAATAGTCGTACGTTAGAACTAATAGTAGTTTACAATATATATATATATATATATATATATAAATATAATGAAATACAAAATATATAATATAAATATAACAGTTAAAGCTAAGTATTAAAAAGATAAGAATTATAGTAATTTTTAAAAGATTTGAAGTTTAGTGATTTAAACAGATCGATTTTTAATTAATTTATAGTTTTTACAATTCTATTGTGGGGAGTATTGCTTATATAATTAGTTACTTTAGTTTTTAGATAAAATGTGTTTAATGACCGGGTGTTACGAATAGGGACATGGAAAGAAAAATAGGACAAAAAGGTAGGACAGTCAAAACTTCCTAAGAAGAGCTTATACGCAAAGTACACATCTAATCGTATACGGCGTTGTTCAAGTATTTCAATAGATAGCATTGTTAAAAGTGGGGTATACGAAGAGTGTGGTTCTCTAGATATGGAACATTGAAATGAAACGAAACGTAAGAACTTTTGTTGTATGCCCTCAATTTTATACTTATAAAAGGATGTATAAGGAGACCATATTATTGATCCATATTCACAAATAGATCGTACCAGACAGCAATAAATCGACTTTATGGCTAATATATCATGAAAGTCATTACAATTTCGACGAATAAAACTCAAGATTTGGTTAGATTTGGCAACCACGTTGTTAATATGATAATCAAATTTTAATTTAGAATCAAAAAATATACCGAGGTCCTTAATAGGTCCCATATTACGATTTAGAGTTTCACCATTTAAGTAATAAACAAATTTCGAAAACAATCGACCTCTAGAGAAGGTCATTATCTGGCATTTACTAATATTAAGTGTAAAATTGTTATTTATACACCATTCATAAAGAGTATTTAAATCTAATTGAAGTAAATCGGCTTCATTTTGATTGTTAACTGTACGGAATAATTTAAGATCATCAGCAAATAGTAATTTATTACAATATTGAAATTGAATATCATTTATGAATATAAGAAATAATATTGGTGCTAGGTGAGAACCTTGAGGAACCCCTGATGTAACACGTATTGGAATAGACAAATTCTCTTTGTAGGCTACAATTTGCAAACGATCTTCAATAAAAGATATTATCCACGATAAGAACAAACCACTAATACCAATCTGTTTTATAAATAACCTGGTTTTTTATAAAAATACCTCACCCCCCACCTCACCAAGGGAGGACTAGGTAGCACCTCTGTGTCACGACCGACCCCCAAGGGTTCGGAAAAGCGACCACGGTCACGGCCAACCTCCTAAACAGCAAACACCTGCAGGACCAGTCCGTCGACCGAGCCGACCGCACAAGTCCAGATCTCATGACAGACGGACCACACAAAAGAACCTCCATACCGAACACGGGTGGGTAGCTTACCATGCTGGAGCAATACCACGACTGGCGGTTTGGGGGGGGAGTATGACGCGGACCCGCGCGGCAGCCATTATCGAAACGTCTGTCGCCGACCGCGACACCCGTCCCCTCCCATCCATCGATGGACAGGGGACGCGAACGGTCGCGACGACGCCCGCATGGAATACTACTCAACCGGTCCGGTCGGGTTGTTCTTCGAACACCGTACGCCCGAACCCATACGCGTTACATTGTACTTTACGCTCACTTTTGTCAAGTTTCATGCAATCATTTGTTTTTTCTCTCGTTTTGTTATTTCATATATTGTTTTTTTGACACCGTGTCAAAACCGACGCGTCCTGTGCCGTCGTTCTTTATCGCGCCGCCACCAATTCGCAATTTCTTTTGTGTTTATGCGAGCAATAAAGGCCACCGGCCAGTACCACTTTCATCGCTGTGTTTTTTTTTCTCTCCTTTTTCTCATTCTGTGACCATACACCTGCACTTCAACTATTACGTCGAGCCGTACAGTGACGGACCTCGACAATTGAGTCCACGTACGTTTTGATAATAAAAGCTTAAATTATAATTAATTGGCCCATTTTTAGTTTTTTGAAATTGTCGGTATACCTTTAATAAATTTCATAATTAGGTTTGACTCACTGGCTGCTTTACGTTCCTCAAGTTTTCCAATAATATCACGAATTTGATTTCTCTGCATAGTAGTACGATCTGGTTAGGCGAACACGCCTAAAATTGTGGATGAACCAATAATTAGCCTAGCGAATTTTTTAGGTATGCAATTAATATTAACTTTATATGATAACTACGAGTATAATAATATACTACATAATAATGATGTATATAATATAATTAATAGTATATATCAGAGGTGGGCAACTGGTGGCCCGCTAAATTTTATAATTTTCTAAAAATTGGCCTTCTAATAAATTTCAGTTGCCTATCCCTGATATGTATTATATTATTATAATTATGGTGACCAGATGAACTTATTTTATAAGGAGAGTATATACTCGTTTTAGGATACATGTCCTAAGTAAATGGCTGAAGTACACAAATAAATGTACTCATTTTAAATAAAGTAATTATTAAAAATATATTGAAAAGGAATAATCATTTCGTAAATTCGTCAATTTTATGCTACAACTTAATATCAAAAAAATATTAAGAAAATTATTTTTTAAAAAAATGATTGGTTGAAAAATGGCATTGCCAACTACAGTATTTGGTGCTATATGTTGATAATCTGTGATAGCTGATGTTATTTTTCAAAATAATTAAAAGTTGTTTTTATATTATATTCAATAAATCATAATATACCTTTAATCGAGTATATAATTATATAAAATAATAGGACTTATTTTTTATATTGTAAATCTGGCCACCATAATTATAATATATACCTATAGGTATATAGGTAGATTATATATATATTTAATCTATATAGATTATTACAATATTATTCAGATAAGTAGACATAATGTCAAAACGTAAAATAAAAGATATTAGTTGTATAAGTCAAAGGACATTTAGGCGTCGGATAGCTACTGACTTTAATGCATCACTGCAAAATGATGATAATAGTTTAGATGAAGATCTGGCTACAAATTTGCCGAATACTAGTTATCATGAAAAAGTGCATCATGCAGTAGT